ATCAAATTCTCTTATTTTTACTCTCAAGTGTCAAATTCATTTCTAGTCTCTTTTCATATAGCAGTCATTCCTATACTCGTAGTCATTTTAAACATCCTTCTATGAATCCTCCTGAGTCTCACTGTTCTATTACATTTATCCTACTGTTTCAAACACAAATATATACATTGTGTGTGTGTGTATAAAACATAAATATAATATCCTGCTTTATAAAACACACACATATATTCCTGATATTATGGTACTATTATAACTTGAAAGTTGTTCAAGTATTTTGCTTTATGTTCTGTAGTCTTCTTGATGATGAACTACAATGTTTTGACAGTTTATGTTTTTTTGACAACATAGTGGGTAGATATAATTTACATAGAATAAATGGCACATATTTAAAGAATAAAATTGATGAGTTTTGACAGATTTATACACCCATAAAAACATCATTATCATGATCAAGATACTGAATATTTTCATTACACCTTAATACCCCCAGAGCCCTGGTGGCATAGTGGTTAAAAGCTCAGCTGCTAACCAAAAGCTTGGCAGTTCAAATCTGCTAGGCGCTCCTTGGAAACCCTATAAACTCTGTCCTATAGGGTCACTATGAGTTGGAATCAACTCAGCGGCAACAGGTTTGGTTTTTTGGTTTTTAAATTTTCCTCATGCCCCCTTATAATCCATGACTTCCTCCTCTCCCATGCCCAGCTAACCACTGATCTGTCACTACATTTTGGTTTGTCCTTTCTAGAATCTTATATAAGTGGAACGATACACCATGTACTCTTTTGTGTCCTGATTTTTTCACTTGGTATATTTATTTTTAATTTATTCATGTTGCACATATTAACAGTTTGCTCTTTTTATTGCTGGTAGCATTTCATTGTGAAGACATGCCACTTTTTTGTTGTTATTGTTGTTCATTTACCTGTCAATGGGCACCTGAGGTGTTACCACTTTGAGACTATTACCAATAAAGCTGTTATCGGCATTCATGTAAAAATCCTTTTAAGGACTTACATTTTCATTTCTTTAGGGTAAACATCTAAGATTGGAATGCCTGGATTATACTATAGATGTATATTTAACATTTGAAGAAACTTCTAAACTGTTTCCCAAGGTGACAATACAATTTTCATTCTCACCAGTTATATTGGAGGATTCCAGTTGCTCCACATCCTTGCTCACATTTTATTGTCTTTCTTAATTTTAACCATTCTAATGAATGTGTAATTCCATCTCACTATGGTTTTATTGTGCATTTCTCTGATGACTAAAAATGGTCAGCATATTGGCCACTTGTATAGCTTCTTTTATGAAATATCTGTTCAATTTTTCTTTCTACATCTAGATTTCCATCCTTTGTCTAACATGTGTTGTGAATATTTTCTCCTAGTCAGTGGCTTGCTTTTTCATTTTCTTAACAGTGTCTTTTGAAAAGAAAACATTTTAAACTTAGAGTCTAATTTATCAATTTTTTACTTTTTGTTGGTTCATGCTTTTTTGTCATATTTAAGAAAATTATGGCTACTCCAAGTTTCCAAAGGCTTTTCATTTGTATTTTCCTCTAGAACGTTAATAGTTTTGGTTTTTATATATATGTTTATGAACCATTTCAAATGAATTTTGAGGCAGGTTGTGAAAAAAGAGTTGATGTTCTTTTCCATTTGGACATCCAGTTACTCCAACATCATTCGCTGAATATATGCAGGGAATTGTGTCTACAACAGGATGTAAAGTTTTTCTCATTAGGAAACGCTGCAAAGATTCTTAGATCCTTGGATTCTTAGATAACATTGTTTTACATTTGTATGTCATTAGTGTCTTCTAATAATCTTGTTGAGGTAGGTATCCTCATATTATAGATGAGGAAATGAAGTTGTTGAAAGACTTACTGAAGATATTATACACACACACACACAGACGAGACAAACCTCAATCCTAGGTCATCATACTCATTTCAGATATTCATGATTTTCATTTTCCAAAGAAATACTCCCTCTCTGATGGCAAAGGAGACTCAAGAAATAATCTCAAACAGCCTTGTGATACAGCCTGAAACAACTATTGTCTTTTAATAAAAGTTCATGTTTTATCTTTTAAAAATCATGTAAAGTTTTATTCCTCTATATGATGTTTACAGAATCAACTGAATATCAAAATAACATTTTATACTGAACAGTTCTGGAAATAAAAGGCTATGACCTCATAGTCTCGTTGTTTAATTCCTATTTGATCTAATGGGAGATATAAGGAGACATTCTAGGAGAATGAGGGTGACCTACAGACTACAAAGTTGGGGACCATTTTCTTTGGGTTACAAAGCCAAGAGACACAAGCTTTCCAAATTAAGTTCCAACGTAATGATGGAATTTTTCCATGCTTGTATACTCTGCTTGCTATGTTGGAGCCAGCCCTAAATCTGGATCTAACATAAATGTAGAAGTGGTTTTACTCTCTTTTGTTATCCTGGAAAGTAGACAGATAATACCTTTCAAGACTTGACAGAAATGTTACACTGAGAGATGTCTGGTAAAGATTTACCCATGGAAAGTGACAGTGACAGGTTTTAATATCTATACAAATTTGGTGTGTTGGTTGATAACATTCTCATCTTTCTGTTGCAGGAGCAGGAGAATCTGGAAAAAGTACTATTGTTAAACAAATGAAGTAGGTACACAACTATTTGAAATATTTAATATTTAAAGTCTGTCCATGTATTTGATCATTCTTAAAATAAATACTTTTGGAAAAGCTGATTGAAAATTTGTTCTAAATTGTTGGTAGTGGCAAAATTGTCACATTTTCTCTGCAAACATTCCTCCTATCCTTTAGCAGAAAGAATAACAAGAGTAATATTTTAATTTCTGTTTTTCTTTCAGTTTTTTACTCTCAGAAAGATAAATACTAAAAGCAGTTATGTTTTAAATATATTAATCTGGGAATGATCTATGGCTTTAACATTGTGTGCATAAGCCATAAACATTTTAAAATATGTCAATCAGTGATCACTTTGAATTGGAGAGAAAACCGTATTTTTAACTTTATTGGCATTTTGCCTACCCAGGAATGAGATGCATATTTGAAGTTATTACTGTCATGGGTTTCAATTTATTTTTGCATTTATTTACTCTACTTTGTTTTCTCTTTCTAATAAAATAAGTAAACCTGAATTTCTTAATAAGGAAATAATGAACAAAAAACTCTTATAATTCAAGAATGTAATGTCCACATGAATAAAACGGTGATTGATAAGTGTAGGTAAATGGGTGAAACTGCATGGCTCTGTCACTGCCAGAGCATTTTAAAGAACAAGGCTTGCTATGAGAGAAGAATGGTAATAATTATAAAGCCATTTTTTAATTCTATGTCTAAGGACCTTGTTCTTTGGTACGTATTATGTGAGGAAATGATCCCATTCAATGATGAAATTGTCTAATTGCAATCTGAGCTGCTGGTTTTTTCTTTTTTCTTGATAATAGGTCATATAAGTTCCATATCAACCAATACTAAAGCCTCACTTTTCAAATCTCCTGTATGCACCAACTCCCTCAAGCTGTCTGTTTACTAACTCACTTATATCTGCATACAAAATTTTGATCCTTCTTCTTGTATCTAAAGAACAGGTCTCCTTTATCTTGTTCACTGATCTTTCTACTTTGGAGTACTTAGGTCCATCCTTTCACCCAAGTCATCTGTCTTTCACCCATACATTACCCTAGGTTTCACCATTCTTTTCCTTTGGGTTATAATCATGTTTGATTTTCTCATACTTCTAACCCCTCCGTTCCCTATGAGCTTAAATGCAATGACAAAAAAGGATCAATTATTGGTCCACATAGTTATTAAAATTTTAAATATATTAAACCATAAAAAAATGGAAAACTAGAAAAAAATCTATAATAAATACAATAGATAAATAATTGACTAACATAACATATAAAGACCTATAGATTGTTAAGAAGAAGAATTTGAAATATTATACAGCCATTACACATAATATATATGAGAAAGTGCTAATGTGAGAAAATGCTTATGTTAACTGGAAAACCATGATACAAAACTGCATAAACATCTTTATCTCAACCATGACAAAATAGATAATTTAAGAAAATGGGAAAACATATGCCAAATTTTCAAAGAAATTTGCTCTCAACAGTGGAATTTAAAGTTACATTGTTTCTTAGCTTTGACTATTGCTAGACTTTTCACATTTTCTGTAATTAGCACGTATAACTTTTATTATTAAGAAAGAATGAGGCTACTCTAGGTACTACTTCCTTTGCCCTCCTTCCTTTTCTCACTAAAGTTTCTGTGAAGAATAGTCACCAAGAGCTCCCTTAAATTTCTCACTTTTCATATATTCTGCAACCATTTCTATTACACTTTTGCCCCTAGCATGTCACTGAATTGCTTTTACAAAGGTCATTGATGATCTCATAATTGTCATTTTCTATGACTTGTTCATAAGTCCTTATCATAATTCCACTTCACTCTATTGGGCTTTTCCCTCTTAAAACTTTCTCTTGGCTTCTAGGATAACTCTCTCTCCCAGTGCTCCTAACTGTCTCTTTCACTCCCTGATTCTTTGCATCTTAAATGTTGGTTTCATAGTGTTTGTGATAAGTCCTCTTCTCTGCTTATTCTACATCTTGATCAAATGAAAATTGCCAAAGTCCAATAATTTTTGCTATCATCTCCAAGCTGAGTCCCCCAAAATTTTTCTTTCAAACCCATACACTGTATCTAAAGTAAGGGGCTGGATATACCTATCACTATAGTCTACGGATAGCTCCAAATCCGAATAAAACAACATTTTTTAATACAGCTTTTAATTGTCTGTTTAAATCATTTATTTATTTAATTGTTTAAGGTAGCAAGACAAACATGATCTTGCTGAAAGTGGAAATACAGAAAACAATAAATAATAAATATAGGTACTGATTTTGCTTTTTTTCACATCAGAACCCTTGTATTTGAAAGTTGTAGTACCTTCGGAGGCAATCATGCTGCTTTCTCCCCCTGTGCCAAAGCCTCTATGTCTATAAACACAACACAAACCCTTAGTGATATGGCATCCAAAAAGATGCCTTAGTGAACACAAAACACTTCAAAAACAGTAAGAAAAACATATGAGCAAGAACACACTATGCAACGAAGATTCAATGAAGTGTAATTAGCAAACAAAAACGTTTTAACTTTTCATAGGTAAATTTATTTTAAACTATAACTTCAAAACTATTAGTCACATCTTGAATAAGTGGAAGGAAGAGAAGAGTTCAGCCAAACAGAATGTCTGGACATTTAAACTTTGAGAACTCACTGGCACGTACGCAGATAGAGAAGTGACAAGGGATTTAACAGCACGCGATTACTTACAGTAAAAAAGATGCTTTTGTTAACACTGCAAATAGAAGGTACGCAGATAGAGAAGTGACAATGGATTTAACAGCACGCTATTACTTAGAGTAAAAAAGATGCTTTTGTTAACACTGCAAATAGAAGGCAGGCACTCCTATTTCCGGCATGTCTTAAGTGATAGGAAAGGACGTGAATGTTCCATCACATTACTTCACTTCCTCTAGACATCCCGCTGTAAACACTACATGAACTTTTAGAACACTGTATATATCTTTATCACGGGAATCTGGAAATTATTCTCTTCAAAAACAATAAGGTTTCTATGTAAAATGCTCATGAGTTATCCATTTTAAATATGATTTATCTAGAACAAATACTTAGTCATCTTCATATTTGTTATGGGGAGCTCAGAAATAAAATATTGTCTTAGAAGACAATGATAATATAAACCCAAAGGTATAAAGTAGCTCAGACTTAACACATACATATGGATGAAAGTCTTCTATTTTTAAACTAATATATACTGTAATGTTATACAAGGAAATTACTGTTGATGTGCTTTAGTATTACAAACACTCGCTCAATTCACAAAAGCCTTTCATGTTTAAATTATAGGATCATCCATAAGAATGGCTACAGTGAGCAAGAATGCATGGAATTTAAAGCAGTAATTTACAGTAATACGTTGCAATCCATCCTATCTATTGTGAAAGCCATGACCACCCTTCAGATTGATTATGTATATCCCACAAGTGCAGTAAGTATGCAACTAATGGCAATTGTACGCCCTACAATGGAGTTTAAGTCCAAAAAGATATGACTTAATAAGTCTGTAGTCCTAATCTATACCAAAAATTTAAGAATATGAAATATGTGTTTTGGAACTATTAATTCTGTTAGTGTAAGATTTTTCTGCTCAGTATGTCCTTAGTGCAGACAGTTTGGGAAACAGAAAGGTGGGAGTCCGCTAGGCCCTCCTTCCATTTCTAGCTCCCCCCGCCCCTACTATGTTGACTGGTAAGTCACCTATGTCTCTGGGGACAGTTTCCCTCTCGCCTGTAAAAGAGGGCACTTGAAGTGGCTGAGTTCCAATATACTTCGCTTCTTTACCATTCTATGACTTTTTAGTTATCCTGTTCTTATTTTTAAGGGTAATTCAGTTATATCTCTGATCCCAAGCTTTTCCTGAGATCCTAGGATTTTAAACTGGCCCTTAAGAGACAATCCGATACAACCTGCTTATTTAAAGATGAGAAAAATAAGGCCCAGAGAGGATTAGCAATTTGGTTTATGTTAAGCAGCTAGAGTTAAGGGCAAATCCCACTTCTAATAGCTTCGATTATAGTGCCTTTCTCTCTGCAAGGGTTTTTAATAAATGCCTTTAATGATTAGCAATATTTCATTTATTTTCTTTCTTCAGCGCCATGATAGTTACTGAAATAGATGTACCTTCTGCATTCCTTTGAGAATGGTTTAACAGTGTTCTAATTTGCATGTGCAATATTCCATATATTTGTGTCACAGAAGTTGACAACCACAATCTTGCCTATAGCTACTTACTTATTTAAATATATTGTGTGCTCCATACAGTCCAGTGTTTTCAAATCTGTGATGTCAGTCATCATTAAAGAACTAAAATCTGTTGGTGAAGAATCTTAATGATGTGGCATACAGGTAGAGTGAAAATAATGGGCTCTGTAACTTTGCTGCCATTATGCTGCGTGAAAAATAAAAATATAGAGTTTATTTCCACAGCAGAGCAACTTAAGCAGCACTAAGCAATTGTGACAGATTTTTCAAGGAGTACCTATATCTTCAAGTATCAGAACTTTATGGCTGTCAGGCACTACATAGCTCCTAATTTGATTTCCACTAGTGCAAACTGTAGCTATTTCAATCACATTCTTCAGTATTAGATTTTAAGATTAACACATTCTCTACCTGGGTTAAACTGTTTATTCAACAGGTTAGTTGCTGAGCACTTTACCTATGTGTGGTTTTGAGAGATCTGATGGTCTAGGGTTTTCTATTTAGCTTTCAATTTGTTTATTTATACATGTTTATATTTTTACATAACCATTTGTACATCAGCACACAGATTGTCAAAGAGAGAAACAGTCTTGGTAGAAAATTTGGAAGTTTTATTACATTGGTTGTGCAAGTTTGGACGAGTTACTTAACCTCTCTAAATTTTGGTTTCTTCGCTGACAAAATGTTAGTGCTTTCTTTATTGAACCACTGTGTTACAGTGTTATTACAGTTGAAGAAGGAAGCAGAAACTTAGGAGTAAATGTGTAAATACAGAACATTGTGAAATATAAGCTCCCATATATATTAGGTATTATTTTTCAATAATTTTGAATGTAGGTTCATTAAAATCTATATATTGAAGTCCACACAGGTCCAAGGCATTTCTAAAAAGTATTTCTTCATTAAACCATTATTTATGTGGCAGAAATTTGGCTGGGCACTGTGGATATACTAAGGAGTCAGCAATAAATGAGATGGAAATAGTATTTTCCCTCAAAAAATGAAAGGCTGATGTTGAAGAGCTAATTATAAAACATGAATTACTTCAAAAGGGCAGCACCAGTGGGTGTGGAATTAAATCCACATTTGTCAAAAGAATTACTGAGAAAGAGAGCACTATCATGAAGTAGGGATGGGGGAGATACTCAGTGAGCCTAGTTGTGAAATATTGAGTTTGTAAGGTCTGGAAGACATCCACATGGATATATCCAGGAAGCAGTTACAAATGTGCATTAGAAGTTCAGAAGAGATATTCTGGCTGGAGATGTGAATCTGGGTGTTATTGGGATACCATTATACTATGGCATATAATTTACACTAAAGATAGAATAGGTCTAGTGCTTAGACTGAGAAGAGAAAGACATTAAAGAGAACAGAGGCTAGAAAAATGTGCTTAACAACTGCAACATTTTCTGATCATTTGAGAGGAATAGGAAACTTAGCAGGAGAGGCTGATAGTAGGAGAAAAACCAGAGGTATGTAGATCCACAGAATTCAAGAGAACTGTTTCAAAGAGGGTTATCCAAGTTGATAGGTCCTGAGAGGCAAGAAATAAGAATATAAAAAATAATCTATTGGATTTAGTGATAATGGAGATCATTGGTGACAAAATGACAGAGGTTTCAAAAAAGTGTTGGGAGCAGAATCCAGAAGGGGTGCTATGAGGATAAAAGTCAACATAAATCAAATCCTCACTTTTTCACTTCTCTTACACCATGCAACACTTACTCTGGCTTTATGCAACACTTACTCTGGCTTCAGCCTCCTGGAGCTAGGTCAGATCTCACAAGTTAAAAGGACACTGTCCTTCAGACTGAATCTAGGCCCACCAGCTGCAAGTCCACATGACACTTTCACTTCTGACCTGCTGGCTACAAATTTAGGGGTCCCTTCTACACCCTCAGCATATCAACCTTAAGCTCAGGGATCCCAGCTCCCCCTCACTTCTGACCTGCTAGCTTTCACCATTCCCTCAAGTTCAATAATTTGCTAGAGTGACTCAGAACTCATGGAAAGCTCTATATTTATAAAGGATACAAAGCAAGATCAGCATAAGGAAGAGACACATAGGGAGAGGTCTAGGAGGGTTCGTAACATTGAGCTTCCATGTCTCAAAGAGGGTGCATCACCCTCCTGAGAGCAGACGTTTTCACCAACCAGGAAGCTCATGAAGATTCAGTGTTCAGAGTTTTATTGGAGTCTCATTATGTAACACAAACTCCAGCCCACCTCCCCTGAGGTCAGCTGACCAGCCCTTCTCCTCTGAGGTCAAGCGATATCACAGGGTAATTCCCAATGGGGCTATTTGGCCTGGCCAGCCCCTACCCCAACTTAACCTATTAGTTAGGTGCCATCTGGAGTCCTTATCAAAGACACTTTAAATTCCAAGGTTTTTTTTTTTAAAGAGATTATCTCTCAGGAACCAAGGACAAAGATCAAATTATTTGGGTAAAGTTAATGTAAAACCCACAGGCCACAATGTAAACCCCAAAGACCACTGTGATCTTTGTCCACAGCTCCTTTCATAGATCTCACATTCGGAGGATTGATCTTTCCTCTCTTAATTTATTGATATTTGACTACATTCTGAGGAGGCTTTAACTCAATTTCCCAGTACACTTGGCCATCAATATCAGTATTATAATCTTATCAACAATGGCAGTGATATATCAAACCTGAAAATTAAGAGTCAAAAGATACTGGCATATTATTAGAGTCCCAATCAGTCATTAGTCACTAGCATCAGTCCATCATCATATCATATGGCCAAAACTTCTCCCACGTTGAGACCAGTCAGGTTTGCTGCGGGCTTCTATTCAATCTTGTCAGGTTCCAAAAACAGGAGTGGTCTTCATCCTTTCAGGCCAAAAAAAAAAAAAAAAACAAAACACTGCCGTCGAGTTGATTCCAAGATTCCCACTCATAGTGACCCTGTAAGACAGAGTAGAACTGCCCCATAGGGTTTTCAATGAGCGGCTTGTGGATTCTACCTGCCGACCTTTTGGCTAGTAGTCAAGCTCTTAACCACTGCACCATCAGTGTAATTGAGCTAAGAAACAATATCATCTCTTGCTCTGAGCCCTTTTGAGGCATTAATGTGGTTTTTGAATTTCCCTAATTGTATAACTCATGTATTCATTCCTTTACCTTCAGCTACTTTTTTTTCCTTCTCTTCATTTATAAACAAACTTCTCCCCACCTTTGTAAAGGACATTTGGTTCAGCCACTGTACTGATCTAGATTACCAGCAGCAGTACTAGTCTAGCAAGAACCTCCCCTCAGTCCACTCATTCTGAGTTAGTTTCTTGCTTAGTAATTATCTCTGCTTACATTATGCACAGTTGCAACCCTGATCCTGGGACCACATCATAGGGAGGGGGAAAAAAAGTTGAAGTGATGTGGGGAAAATAGAAAAAAAATTGAAGTAATCTGGGGAGAATCATATGGTCACATCAGCATCCTCCCCCATCCCCTCTTCCCCTGATCGACATCATGACCTCGCTTAACCTGTTAGTTAGGTGCCATATGGAGTCCTTATCAAAGATAATTAAAATTCAAGGGTTTGTTAGTTTTTGTTCTCGTTTTTGTTTGTTAAAGATTATTTCTCAGAAACTGAAGACAAAGACCAAATTATTTGGGTAAAGTTAATGTAAGCCCCACAGGTGCATTGAGAAATGAAAAGAGGATGTGTGAATAGAGTGTGGAGTATAAAGGCAATGTTTTCAGAACTATGGTTTACTTATCCTCTCGGAAAGTTATTAGATTTTCGACCTACATAAAAGAATGCTGGAAATAGAAATTTTACACTTTTATCACATCACTTGGGTGTGGTTGTGACCATCTCTGACACAGTGCTCCATGAAGTGAACCCTATGATGTGAATGAAAGAGCATTTATTCTTCAACATGTTCTATCGTTAAAGTTCTGTGATTAAATAAGCTTGGGATATATACATACTATAACAACTTCTTGGAAATCTGCAACCAATATTAGTACTCCAAGGCTGAAAATCCTGCAGCAAGGGAATCTGGCATTTTTAACTTGGTATTTCCCAAAATTACTAGGTTATGATATACTTTCCTTCCTCTAATATGTTTTCCCCCAATCTTTGGAAATATAACTCTAGGGGGTTCAGAATGAGCTCCATAAGGTTCTAAGGCCATCTGAGGTTTCTAATATTTATGAGGAAGATCTGGGTGACTTGTAGAGAAAATATATATTTTGCTTTCTGTGCAACATAGCTACGGAGCTATGCAACCTTGAGAGAATGAGCCATTACAGAATCACTATAATTCCCAAAACCAAAACCAAACCAAATTCTGTCGAGTTAATTCCGACTCATAGGGACTCTACAGAACAGAGTACAACGGCCCCATAGGGTTTCTAAGGAACAGCTGGTGGATTCAAACTGCCAACCTTTTGGTTAGCAGCTGTAGCTCTTAACCACTGTGCCACCAGGCCTTTCCCAAATACATTGTAGGGAAAAGAAAGTTCTTCAGGATGCCACTCAAACCCCCGTGGAGCTATGTGAAATACTTGAGAGATTACTGGAGATACCTTAAAGTTTCTCAAGAATATGAGGTCTGAGCTAATTAGGAAGCAGATAACTTATTCATTTTATTGATTCATTCATTCATCAGTATTTTGGCAACATGTTGTGTGTGCCAGGTTCTGAACTAGGTCATAAGGTTTTAGAAGTAAACAAAACAATAAAATTTCTGCATTCATGTGTTTATATCTAATATAAAAGACATAAAATAAGCAAAGAAATATTACTATATATAGGCAATAATGGGTTCTATGAAGAAAAATAAGTGATGGAAGAAAGGATGGTCAGGAAGGATTTCCTTGAGGAGGTGCTATTTGAGAAGAGACCTGAACGAAATGAACAAATAAGATGGGAAAGACATGGAGGGAACAATAATTCAAATCCTCTGAAATGGGGCTTGGTAAATTCAAAGAACAGCAACGAGACCAGTAATTCTTGAGATGGGAGAAGAGAGAGAGAAAGAGGGAAGACCAGAAAATAAGACTGGAAAGGAAGTCATGGTCCAAATATGTAGAGACTTGTGAGCCATAGTAAGAAATCTGGAGGTTTTTTGAGCTTGGTGGGCAATAATTGAAGTTTGGGCATATGGGGGTAGGATAATCAGTAGGACTTCACTTTTCAAAGGATCAGTTTGGCTGCTTTTTTGGAAAACAACTTTTCATAATGCCTGTTAATTTTGCTGTTACATAATTTAAGAATTTAAATTTGATTGGTAGAACTAACCCCTTAAAAACGTGGAATTTGATTCTTTCAATTATAATTCCAGCCCTTCCACAACTACAGAAGGACTTTGGAGACTTGAAATGCAGCATATCCAGTAAGATATTACATATCTTCAAGAAAAAAACCTGCATATTTTCAGAGATTCTTAACCTTGGCTGCACATTAGAGTCACCTGGGAGCTTTTAAAAAAAAATACCTTTGCAGAATCTGACACCCAGAGATTCTGACTCATTTGCTTTGGGGTGAGGTCCTGGTATCAGCATTTTTTAAAAGTGCCTCAGGTCCTTATAAGGTGCAGCCTGAATTGAAAATTGCTGCCATGGGCTCTACCTATGTATCCAATAAATTAAAAAGCCAAAGGTCTGAAAGGACTAAAACCAAAAAGACAGAATGGCCTGCCTTTTGGGTAGGTACTGGGATCAAAAGGGGGGTTCATGGGGAACTTTATAACATTTAAATGTTTAAAGTGATGGTATAGTTACGATATCTATGTAGATAAAGTGTACTTAAAGTAAAAATTGAAATTTTTTTAAAGAAATGCAACACTACATTAGTTTGGTTTATGCGATGATGTGGCATATGATTTACTTTCCTTCAGGGACAAAACTGTATGAGCACCTGTTTCATTACCTCATTTGTCCTAAAAGGCACTTTAAAGTGGTAAGAGGCAACTAGGATGTTGCTACCAAAAATGACTGTGTCGTATTTCACTGGATTTGCAGTTCTCTCTCACAACCAACTAATTGGGAGGAAGGGTTTTAAAATTTGCCCTGTGGTGATGTAAGAAAATGGGGTCAAGCCCTTGGTTTTAGCCATTTAACAAATGATTGAATGATTATTTGATCAGTTTGATATTAAAAGTAAAATCTGATTGTGAAGAAAGACGAAATTATTTTTTTAGTCTTAACAGGGTATCTCCTTAACCCTTATTTTCTATACAAAAAGTCAATTCTTAATAAAGTGGGAGATAAATTTGTAGTCAATTTAAAATAATAATAAACGAATTGTGTCAGAAAACTGCAGATTCTTATTGGACAAACTTAGTTGCTAGTCTCAACATTGCACAAAATGTATTTGGGTTTGACTCTTCTTCTAATGCTTATTGTCTTTATTGCTTTGGGAAAATTAATCTGAGAAACTATACTGTTGTAGGGTTATATGAGATAATATACATGTTATTGTCTTGGAAATTGTTATAATAATAATACGCACTAGAAAGAGTGTGAACGTCATAGTCTGAAGATCAGGATTTGAGTCTAGACTTCTCCATTTGCCTGGACCATTATGATGGTCAGTAATTTAATCACTCTGAGCCTCAAGTTCTTAATCTTTAAAAAATTGTTTTTATCATAAAATTGTTGTGATAACGTGTTTAAATAAACCTTGGACTACAGTATTTACTCAGTAAACTTGTTTTCTTCCTCTCTTGTCACCTCCAACAACCATACCAATGGGACTACAACAATGCTTGCTCTCTCTCCTTTTATTACCTATTGATTTGCACCAGAAGAATGAAATCAACAACAGCCACAGAGATGTTAAAAAACTTCATGTACGGATCAGATTGTTTGCTATTGCTTATTTATATGATTATAAAGTGCCTGGTGGCAAAGTATAGTCATACTACTTTAAATACAATTTCAGAAATACAATTTTATTTTCCATTTTATTCTAATCCTTACTTGGTGTCTTATATTTTTTCCTAAAAAAAAAAAAAAATCTATGGCTATGTTCAAAGGAAGACAAAGTACCAGATTAGATCGGATTCATAACCACTCTACTGCAGAATTTTGACCCTCTGATAACTCAAAGTTATATATACCAAAGCACTGTTATTCATTTTGACATCCAACTCAGAGTTTAGTGATATATACCCAAACTTCTAATTTCCCTCTGTAACATTTTATACTTTCTGCAAAGGAGAAGTCTTCTTGACATTAGCTGATTATTACAAGGAACTTTAGTTCTATTGACCATAAAGTATTTTGAAATGATGTTCAAAGAAATCATCTCCTAGAAGAATTAGACAACGATCATCCAATTAAAATATTCTATACTTTAAAAAAGAATATGTTGTTCCAAATACATTTTTATCCTTCTTATTTAAACACTGCTCTAGGAAGGCCAACGACAACTTTGTGCTATAGCAAATACCCTGGAAGATGGTGGCATGACACCTGAGCTGGCTGAGATAATAAAACGGCTATGGAGAGATCCAGGAATCCAGGCCTGCTTTGAAAGGGCATCTGAATATCAGCTCAATGACTCTGCAGCTTAGTAAGTACATTTTGACAAGAATCGTAGTTGAGACATTTAAAAAAATATAAATTATTATTCTGCATATTCTGCATTTGTAAACTGGTGCTTGACTATGCATTTTATTATACTAAAAAAAACTGAAGATCAGTAAAAAAAGAACAAGGTAACATAAAGGGAATGTAAAGAAATATCAACAGGGGAGCACTTTAAATGACTAATTTTGCAGCTATTTGCCTGAGAAGCTCTGTATGTTTCAAATATCTTTTCCAGATTAAACAAGAATCAACCATTTTGCATAGTGCTCAACATAGACACAGATTGGTGATACGCACTCTGAGCCTTGGGGCTATTCATTTCATCTCTGTTCATGCTACTGAAAGCTTATTTTAAAATGACTGTATTAATGACATATGCTTTGGCTCCGCTGGCTTGATGAGCATGACACAGAACTAAAAAATAATGTATTTTTTCCAAAATATTTTTATATTGTGGGATTCTTTCTGAGTCTCAAGGAAGATTGTATAACTTCAACAGCTAATGTTGGCCAGTTGGCACTTACCAGCCACAAGTAAGTCAGGAGGTGTGACACTATAATTTCATCTTCAAAGTTATTTTAAAGTTCCATTTTTTAAGTGGTTCTTAACCTATCCAAAGGTTACATGCCTGCAAGTATACATACACATGTATGTAAATATATCTGCCCATGCATATGAGTCTATAAAATGTTTAAATAACAGTCCCATTGAAAAATCTCCAGAATAACATCTTAGCAACATTTAATTTAAAAAAAATAATAATATAAAAGTTAAACAAATGAAAGATTATTCAAGGACAAAGCAAGGAAAACTGCATGATTCTTCAGATTTTTAATGAATAATGGACAGAAGGATTATGGAGAGAAAACAAACAATATAAATTCTAGGGGGAAAAAAACGGTCTTCTACAATTACTCATTCATTTTTATTTTAGACCCATAATTCCAATAGGTAAGTTGTCTTTGGAGGAAAAGTGCTACTCTTGTCTCTGATGAAGAAGTGAATGGATGTCATCCTATGATGGCGACCAGGGGGATCCAGGGAAGAGACTTTATTTAAGACTTCATGGTTTACTGATTGGGGCATCTAGTTGGCTATTTAAAAATACTATATGCTTTAAAGAACTAACATAGACTTCCCCAGGAAAATAACTGCTTTCATAAGTGTCTCACAGCCTAACCACATTTTAATAATAAAAGAGTTCTCTGGTAGTATAATAAAGCATTGTTTTTCTATGTTAATCCTGGGTAAAGGCAGGCACAATTTCTAAGAAGCTGAATTATGCAATATTCCTATAAAACGTTGTTAGCAAAATTCTGCAGAGGGAGGGAGGGAAGGGCAGATAAAAGTGAACTGTAGTTAATAAATTTAGTTTTGGATACACATTATTGATTAAACAGGATTTTCCATTAAATACTGAAAGAAATGTATTTACAATTATATTGTCATTATGTTTACCAAATTATTGGCTCTCTGTTAACAAAGAGCTATTTACATACCATGTTGTCAAAATGAAGAGATGAAATACCCTTTATTGTACTTTCTAATCTCACTATGAGTCGGAATCAACTCAATGGCACACAACCGCAACAGCAATCTTTAGTTTTAGTTTCGTTTATTTGTTTCTAGTTCTAAAATACATTTTACACTGGGACCATCTCCCCATTACAGATTCTTATTAAAAATCTGTTCTTCAAGTTAAACACAACTAAACAATATTGAGTTACATCCATTTTTTGAGCACTGCCCATATTGTAATGGTTTTAGACTAACAAGATTGATTTGCAGGGCAGTATAATAATAACACAAAAGTTGATTTTCCCCACTATGTCTCAGAAAGGGTACATATATAATCCAAAAAATAAAATGTTAACTGTTTTCTGTCCTTATGGGTCCTTAAAAGGAAGGTTAAATTAAAAAAGCTCCCTAAGAAAATAGCTGAATGATCACTGCTGTCTTCTAAAAATTAACAGTAGTTTTTTTTTCAAATACAGATTTACTTTCACATTTTAAAACTAAATATAAAATCAGATTGGTAATATATCCCATGTGTATTTCATATGAGGAGCCTTGGTAGTGCAATGATTAAGAGCTTGGCTGCTAACCAAAAGGTTGGTGGTCAGAACCCATCAGTCTCTCTGATGCAGAAAGAAGTGGTGGTCTGCTTTTGCAAAGATTACAGCATTGGAAACCCTATGGGGTAGTTCTACTCTGTTCTGTCGGGCCACTATGAGTTGGAATTGACCAGACGGCGACAGGTTTTCATTTCATATGCACTGTATAGATAAAGGTCTCTAACAGTTCTTTCTTCTTTTCTTTCTTTCTCTCTCTCTTTTTTTTTTTTTTTTGGTAAAAATAAGATATTTGCTATTTTCTCAATCTAGAGATGGTCTTCAAGTTGAAGCTAACAAAAAGTGAGTCCTAATAGGAGTTAGGGAAGGTAATGCTCTTGTTGGCACCATAATAACCCAGTCAGTACTAGCAAACTGAAGGACAAGGGGCATGGTCGTGGCAACCAGATTTTAGTTCAGATTTCATGGTTCACTAGTTGGGGCCATCTAGTGTGCTATTTAAATTCTACTCGCTTTAAGAACTAGTATAGACCTCCCCAGGAATGATCCCATATTTACATGGTAAGAAAAAGAATCCAGATATTTTTAAATGATTTGTGCCATACTTGTTAAAAGCCTCTGGTTTGGCCAAAGTTTTAGACTGCAAGTTTGAACACCAAATCCAACATTTGTTTATTAAAATAAGCATTTTAAATGCAAATTTGTCACTCTGAAAATGCCCTTGTGTTGCTTGAACTCATATATACATGCAAATAAAAGTACATTAACATGTGTCATTCCAGATTAAATTCATTCGTTTATTTGTTTCTAGTTCTAAAATACATTAAAATGAATTTAATCTCTATTTTGACAGGAATATTTATTTTATTCATTTTTTTAACTCCTTCATGAACCAACTGACCAACAGTTTACCTACCACATATGCAGATTGAGTCACCAGGGAATTCATAAAGGAGTTTATGTCACAACAGAGAAAATAAATAAACTAGGAAAATTTGCCAGTACTTTCTTCTGATACATTTATATATTTTTTAAAAGCAATTTATCTTTAGCAGAATAAAACAATGGTGATGAATTTTCACACAGTACATGTGTGTGTGTCCTTGACCAAAATCCCTGTGAAGCACTTGCTTGTTCTTTTAGTTTGTTTCAGCTTAAAAGTGGAAACAAAAAAAAAAAAAAATCAATTACTTACATTGTTGAATTTTTTTTTTTTTACAACATCTTTGTTTGTTTTTTTAAGACACTGTACTGCATACAAATGCATAAGACTCCTCAACTTGGTCTGTAGACAAATTCAACTTCTGAATAATAACTAAATATTCAGCTGGATTCTAGCTCTCAAATTCTGTCTGGATGGAAGTATGCCCATCTTGCTCTTTTTGTGTAAGCTACATATGTAAACTTGGTTCAATGCAATAGTCAAATTTGTCATAAAAATCTTACCTTGATATTACTGTTTGTATTTAAAATGTTCACAAAAACGGTCATATTGCTAAGTTACTAAAGCCTTAGTATCAAAAATCTAGAAGAGTGGGTTTCAATTTTCTTTTAAAGCAATATAACTTTGTGTTAGTCTAAACACATTATCTGGCTTCAATGACAATGTTAACAGCAGGTTCTTTCCTCTAATCTAACAGATTTTTATAGCATGTACCGTTTAATCATACCTATTCCTGCCCCTCACCACCCCCAGATCCTGTAGGGACAAAAAGGGGTTTTTTAACAGGGCCTCGTGGAAGGGTTAGGACACGCTGAGGCACTGATAGAAGAGATGAAGTGGGAATTGGTTTGATGGGTAAATTCAGCATTCTGTCCCCAAAGAGTTCTGGGTCAGAAGTGGGTATGCAATTCAATGAGTTAGTTCCAGCATGGACCAGCAAGAGTCAAATTCTTTTTTTTTATTGAGCTAATTGGATATTATCAGGACGCTTAATGAAAATAGCTGAGACTCCTAAGCTAGGCGATCCATGCGAAAAATAACACAACAACCTTCTAATTATGACTATTAAAACTAATTACTATCTTAAAACTAAAAGTGTCTAAATTCAGACTACAACATTTTGAACATAAGTCTATCGACTACCATTATAAGGTAACTTTTCTTTTTTTTGATAATCCAGGCCCTATAAAGAGAATTTTTTTCTCAAACCCTGATCTACAGCTATCACATGAGCCTCATAAAGTATAGACTAAGGCAGGGTTGATTTAGCTGACCTTTAGAAGAGGCCCCCCAGGGGGTCAGCTGTGTACTACACTCAACTTTGCAGCATCCAGTCACCAAACTCTCTTTCCAGTGAACAGAGTTTGGAAAGTACTGGTTTTGAGTTTAATATTATCAATGAACCCTCAACTAAAAATTTGTTAGTACTGAATCATGGCATATTCAAATGCAAAGTTAAAAAACTTATATGCTATTTTGCTTTTTATTGTTTCTTTTTAATAGCTACCTTAATGATTTAGACAGAATAACAGCTCCTGGGTATGTTCCAAATGAGCAAGATGTTCTACATTCTCGAGTAAAAACGACCGGAATCATTGAAACTCAATTCTCCTTTAAAGACTTGCACTTCAGGTATGATCAACTGTCCTTTTTAACTCTTACCAGAAGTATGCATCAAGCTTAACATTTACAGAGAAAAGCTTTAACTCATGATCAGGAGCAGTGCATGCTTGGGCACGTTCACTAGGCCCAGCTAACTTTCAGTAACACTACCCTATAGGGTCGCTATGAGTCGGAATTGACTAGAGGGCAACGGGTTAGTATCCCCTCGCCATCTCATGACCCCACTCTGCCATACCCTCCTCCCACCTTCCCTGTCCTGAGCCTCAGGACTGCACTCCTCTGTCCAAGAAAAGTGACTCTGTCTCGAGCAAATGGAATCTAGCTTTTTATCTTCCTTGCACTTGAAACTGACACCCTACTTTGGGG